TATATATATACACACATACGTATGTACAAACACACATTTTATCTGTTCATGAATTATATAATACGGAATGTATAATAACATGACTCATTTTCATATCTTTGGAATCATTGGGACGAGCGTCTACTTGAAGTTTCTGTGATGTGCGCAGGCCACACTCGTTCGCAAATGACCACAAAGGACTCTGGCTTTCCGAGAGACGGGAAGACGACGTGAGATTCGAGCGCAGCTACACGCTCCAAGCCTCCACGACGGTGACAATCGCAGCTGCTCGTGCTGGGAAACTCGCTGTCCAAGCACGATGCCCCTGCTGACTGTGTTGCCCCTCGAATGGGTGCGTTCCACCGCTAATCATTGCAACAGCAACACTTAAAGGGTCCTTGACGACAAACGGCTCCACATCAGAAGGCAGTAGGTGCCCAAAGTTTGGAACCATCTGCAGCATTTGTGAAAGCGAGATCAGACGCGGCTTAATCTACCGAATGTCCAACAGCAGTGGACCTTCCGTGTGTCTAAGCATTTTGAGCAGCCGCAATGCGACGACTTGCTCCCGCACCACCCAGCAGAGGAGCAGCACGGAGACCTGAATCACAACTTCAAGCCATCAGGAACATCCACGTGGGCCACACCGGAATGCTCGGGACTCCACTGACCTGCTGGGCTGCACGATGCAAGGATGCCGGAAGTCTCAGTGGAAGAGTTCAATACTCAACATGTACAAGCAGGTGTGAAGAAAGTTACGTTGAAGAGTTACCGACTGCACTTGCATCTTCGCTCCGGGAACCCCAGTAGGCTTGCGAAGCACAGCCCGGGCACATCCTCAGTGGAAGCGCAACGCCCATCAGCTCGCCAGGAGCCTGCTTTAAGCACGGGTCAGGGCGGAACAGTTGAGTGGCTCCCTGCCTTCAATGTAACCCACCTGCCAACACCATGCCAAGCATGCAGGCTGCTATCACTAGCCAGGCTGTGTGTGCAACTTTAACACATTCATTCCAATGACATCGAGATTTGTTTGAGCGATGCCACAGTGGATCAGTCAAGTGGTTCAACAAACCCTGCAGTGTGCTACGCAACAGGCTGACACAGTCTGGCGGGCCTTCGGATGCAAGTTCAACAGGAACACATGTTTCCTACAGCCAAAGCTTCACAGCTGGCGGCTTCAGCGGCAGAGACGAGGCAGCGGCTTCCCCCACCAGAACTCGTGTAGACCGCGATACAGAGCACGCTGGCCCTGCCCGGCCATGCACGGCCCCGGCACATTCCAAACTGCCACTGGCAAGGAGATGAACAGGCATGGCTACATGGCCCATGGCCTCGTGCCAAAGTCCGAAGAACTTGGCCACGCTGCTGAAGCCCTGTGGAGAGTCTGCGCACACGCAAGGGAAGTCACATAAAGGCTGCGACGGAAACCCTCATCAGTGCAAATATGGCTCCTGCCTGCTTGGCACCACTTCTCGTCTTGACATCTGCAATCAGATGTGGGCTCGAGGCAGTTTCCGCTAGGTTTCTCCTTGTTCTAGACGTCTGTTCTTTGGCCAGTAATCACCAAACGATGAGCCATCGGCTTCAGTCGCACGTCAAATAGCATCACAAATCCTCATCTTGTACGGCTTGCCTTAAAAATTGTGTCGTTGGGAACAGCCTAGAAAGCGTCCATGCCAAAGAGTGCTTTCACATTCCCACCTTAAACATCTCCGAGCTCATCGGTTCACACGAACAAGCCCACATAGCTTCGGGGCTTCCAGAGTGCATGTGCAGGGTTCACAGTTCCGATATCGAAATTTCGATGCACTTCCAGGGCAGCTTCTTGACAAAGGTATATTGCGACGAGTGGGTGGTAAACACTCTGGGAATCTATTGAGCGCCGGGATTCTCTTCAGGGGAGATTTTCATATGAGGCTTTGCCGCAGTGTCTGGAAGTTCGATGAGGAAATTACGCAACCGCGCCCTATGCTCTTCCCTGCTCTACCTAGAGGGGAGGAGATCGTCATGATGGAAAAACGGGCCTTCTGGGTTCACGTTGATCCATATGGCCAGCACGGAAGCTGTTCCCGACGCCAATGCCTGGAGTGAGCCCCCCCCCCCTTCGAAAGAACCTCATCGAGCAAGCCCACTGGGATCCATGCCTTGACCAGAGCCGGCATCGATCGTGGCCTCAACAATCTGACACCGGCTTGGACGATTTGGTCATACGTGGAGGCATGTGCTCTTTAATCTCAGTCGGTAGGAACGCATCCCAGAAACAGAATTGAATGCAAGCCGGCTCATCTGCACCGGGTGTGTATATGCAAATGGAGGAAGCCCTTGTTGCTTCAGAGTCTCGTTTCTGCACTCCGAAGTTGCCACACGATCCGGTCCTGCCAAGCCCTAAATTGTTGTCATCTTTGCAGACCATCACATGACGGAATGTACAACATGGCGAAGGAGACTCTGCATGTTCACATGCGTCCTCATACTGCTCAAGACGTGCAGCCGAGACAGCCAAATCCAGCCAAGGGCTGTCCACTGTGGGGCGTTGCCACGTGATCTTGCTGTCCTCACGAATCGCGTCAGCAGTACCAGAACGCATCACAGAGCTGAGGCAAACGTCTACTTGTATGTGGAGAAACATGCAACGTACTGAAGCTCCTGGTTGTAAAAAATGTGCTGGAAGTACTGCCTCTGCTCAAGTAGGGTGCAGCAGCACCGCATAAACAGAATTGCACCAAGCATCGCCAAGTCACTCATGCAAGCCCAAGCTCATGAACGTGCCGATGCTGCCATGATGAAAAACGCGGGGCACTTGTGGATAGAGGACGGACCGACCTGTTGGGAGATTCGGGCGCTTGCAAATCGTGCTTCTCATCCGACCAGGCAACATGCGGTACCATAGCAGGAACATGACACGTCGGGGGCCTTGGTGCTGCTGTGGACTCCGGAGCCAGTGATCCCAATTGCACATCTTCGCCTCCCGTCCTGAGCTCAGAGCAATTCAAGCCCTTTTTTCGCAGGAACGACACGCATTCAGATTGTTAAGCTAGGCCGCGTCTCTCGTCAACGTTCGGCCAGTTGGGCTGCAGCTCTTTCCAAAGTCGGCGGAGCATGAGCCAACCTGGTTCAAGATGGCCAAGGCTTGGTACACCTGCACCGCCCTCCGCGCCTAAGCCAGGCATGAACTGCGTCCGTAGCAGTCCTTTGGGCTCACGGACCAGGTGGTCCTTAAGGCCGGAAGCTGCTTTTGAGCAATGACATGCGGAGCATCTTCATCTGCGCTGTCACGAAGATGCTGAAAGACCCTAGAATCCTTGAAACCCGCTCAAGCTACTTAACCCTGGCCCACCCCCCTGAATCACAAAAACCTGCAGCACCCCAGACATGCGCGTACAAAAGAAACGGTGTTTCTTTGCATCCGTCATCTTAGGCGACGGATCTTCAACCCTAAATCTCAGAGGTCAGATGAGACCCTCGACCCTACCGCAAAAACAGGGCCCAGAACCGCCACTGTTCAACTGGGGAGCGAATCCGTTGTCGTTCCAAGCAGACACGATCCAAAGAGTGCTGTCACAGTCCAGAACCGGCGCAGCAGCCTCTCCAAAGACGACCAATGGTCCCTCCGTCTTTCATGCACTACAGTACATGAAGAGCCCATCACCCACAACAGCCTGAAAGTACTCCAAGAAATCCGGTGAAAACCGCAGGTCATCTTCCACGATGATGATACCTGATGCTCGAAAGCAGCACCACTGCTCGAAGTACACGATTTTAGGTTTTGCCCCATATGCCATGATACCGCTCACTTTACGTCTTTATGTGTGATTAGCTGGAAAATGCTGTGCACGAGTCTTCACAACTGCAGAAAATCGATACCAGGCAGACGATGCAAACCTGGGGGCCCGGAGTGTGATTGAAGTGCTTGAACGCAGCGTCAATGCTCCATCGATAGTGTCTGGCAATCCTTGCATCTCTGTCTGCTCTCAGCGTAAACTTACTGATTCGTACCGGCTGCTGAGACACCTGAGTGCTGCAGATCTCCAGCCCGAGTTCACTGGCGGCTTCGCATCGTGGGAAATCCGGGAGATATTCATGGAATCAACCACCTTGGCCACCTGAATGGAAAGAAGTGAGAGCTGTGAGAGCATGCCAATGTTGCCCCTGGCCAGAGCCTCTTCGTCACTGCCATCCTGGGAGACGAGAATGTCGTTCACAGAGAAACCACGCACGCCAGCCAGGCTCCTCAATGTTTCCAAGAGCCTCTCGGCTCGCCGATGCGCCAGCAGGAGGACTGGCAGGCTAAATCCTTTCTGGATGAAGTATGAAAGATCACCATCACAAGCTCGGAGTTCAACCTGTGAGGTTGTTGGTATCACGGATGTGGCATTCGTAGTTGTTTCGGGCACAGCTCGGCGAAGTAGATGATCTCCGAAAGAAGGATTTCGAAAGGACGCCTGTTACACTGCCAGACCCACACAGGCACACAATGCAGGCGCGTGCATTGCACTACCGGCACATCTGGCACATGTCGGAAAATTGAGGACTGGCAAAACAGGGAGGGAAAGGGAGACTGAGAGGGAGGGCCAGCCATGGAAGGCGATTGTTGATGTCTGAGTGCGTCCGTCCCTCAAGCACAACAATGCAAACTGAAGCAGTGGTCAGGACAATAACCCGTTTGACAAAAAGCAACGTGCTGATTGTTACAGCCTGTGCCAGCGCTGCGACATGGTATTGCTTGTGCTCGAGTGTTCAAGAGCTCCGAGCAATCTTGCTCCACATCTGCGTGTGCGGCTTGCCCGGAGAGACAGCTCGTGATAAGGGCACTCCTACTGGCGTGGTTTAACTACTCCACTAGTACCTGACACTGAATTCTGCAGCAAGCCGACGCCTGCCCAAAGAGCTCTGCTTGCTTCACCTCGTGATCTGCTCACGACAGAGTGCTAGCTAAACGACCTAGCATGCTAGCCCATCAAGCAAGATGTAGAACAAAAAGGAAAACCTCCTGTCGATTAACGAAGGTGCCTGAAAAACAAAGACCGTCACTGACACGAAGCATAGCAAAAGGAGTGTGCGACCTGCAATGACATTCATCGCACTGAACATGTGGGTTTACGGGTCAGGAGAAATCATTTGATGGAAATACCTGCCAAGCAAAGGGGTGCCTCGGCTGCGGCAGCAACAGCTTAGCCATGCGCCAAGCATTGATGGCCCCACATCGCCATGGGGAACTGCGGATCAGAAAAGCTGGTGTGTGGGTTGAAGAACGGCTCCGGCAGACGGCTCTCAGGCTCCCTATGCGGAGACATGCTCACGCAGCATAATCGAGCTTCGCTCAAGCTTTTATTGGAAAGCGAGCGGGAACTGATCTGGCAACTCCTCGATGGCCTGCCGTGGTCGCTCACAACGGTCCAGGATCTTGAAACGGTAGAACCGGTAGAACAGTAGAAACTTACAGGGCCTGGAGCACATCCGCCACACGCCGAGCACTGTGCTTTAGCCTTTGCTGCTGCGCGTCCGAGGCAGCAGCCGCCGCTGAAGGCACCTGCTTGCAGACGGGCCTATCGGACTATCATGCGAAATACAGACGCAAACAGAAATCTCCATGGTCGGGCCTCCAAGCGGACAAGCGCGATCACGATGCGCTGTAAGTTGGGCAAGTCAGCAGTGAATTCAGCAAAGTCCTGAGCTTGTGCACAGATCAAGACACCAAGCAGAATCCATGCAAGTGACCTTTGGAGCAGCTGGCAAAAAATCGAAAGCGAGCTGCGGCAGCGGGCAGCTGCAGCCCCTCGCCAAGGCTGACGACCCAGTCGAGATTCTGTTCCACAGCCTGCAAACTGCAAATTTCAGGACCTGACTCCACCCGGTGCCAGGGTGACCCAAATGCCTCCATGGAAAGGTCCGCAGCCGAAGAAACCTTCATGAACCTGACAGATAGTTACAAGTCTTTTGTGCAGCTTCCAGTTTCCCTGACGACCTGGTAAGCAATAGACACCGAAGGGATGCACTCGGTAATGGATCCGGTGCCTCTCTCGGTTCAAGCAGGCACCGCGACGCTTCCTTCCAACCTCCGAACCTGTCGCAAGAAGGCTCCGGGAGATGGCCAGCTCCGGCGACGGAAGTTTTGGAGGGCCTGCCAGCTTTGGACATTGCCAGAGGCGAAGCTCTGCTTGCCAGGCACCGAGCTGAGGGAAGCCACCTCGCGGCACAGCCACATCGGCAGGGCCTTGCATCCGCAGTCCATGGTTGCAGCTTCGACGTGAAGCGACGGCGCAGCTCGTGTTTTGCAGCATGTAACCGGAATGACCCTGGTTTTCAGTATCCCCCCTCACTGCGAACCTCATCCACAGAAGCAAAGGTCTTTTTGATGGCTACCTGCAAGCCACATGATTCTCTCTGATGCTCTTCAGAGCCAGCAGGTTTGGTGTTGAGATAGCCTCACAGCCCGGCCTCAAACTGACCGTTCACGAGCAGCGAAATGAGGTCTTCGTGACCTACGCTTCCGTTCCACATGCCCCATGGAGCGGAAATCCCCAGCGTCAAAGCAATGCTGCACCTTGTCCCCCAGCCTTCCTCGCGGTCGTGAAAGAACCTGTGCAGGATCCAGAGCGCATGAAGTGCCGCAGAAGACCTGCTTCTTGTCACAGCAGTGACTTCAAGCTTTCCATCAGAAACAGTGATCGTATCTGCTTCTGGTGCTCAGCTAGACCTCATGCCAGGAAAGGCGGCGCCATGCTGAGACAGGTAGTGTCTAACTGCCAACAGTCTCCCTTTGATATGCATCCTGGAACCAACCTTAGACATCTGTCCCACCAGCAAAAATCCTGCTCTGTCGTCTGGGGTACGAACTTGTCAAGCTGCTGCTAGCTCTCTGCACCTGCAGCAGTGTCGCTAGCATGCTGGAGGTGCTTTGCTTAGCCTGGCATTGGTAAGTGCCCACAAGGTGGCGCATGATAAAAGCTCATGGAAGGCTCCAGTGCTACTAGGAGACGAGGCATGCACATGTTCTAATATCTTGCCAGACCGACAGCACCCGCTCGCATTAAAAATGACATCTGAATGCAAATCCGTCTGAGGCCTTATATTCACGTTGCCTGTTTTGCAAGTCAGCACGGCGCCGCTCCAGAAGACGAGACTGAGACGACTGAGCGATCTTTCACCGGTTACGGAGTGATCGATCATACAGTAATTTCATGGAGCCCAACGACAAGGCATCGCAGATGCGAAGCGCACGGTAATGAAATAGCTGCCGAAACCACGAACGAAAGATGCACCGGCTCTCTCAGAGCCGTAATAGTGCTGTTCGAGCAAGAAGGTTTGAGATGAAAAAGAATTGACGAGAGAGTTGGGGCTCGGGGGTCTTCACAGTTTCTTCGGGCAGAGCTAAGGCTGCAGGCACTCGCGGATCTAAGCACGGGGTTCCCCATTTGTTTGATCAGGTATGCTGCGCCGTTGAGCTCTGTTGTCAGTCGAGGACCGACGGGTTACTGCTATCCCCTACCGTCCGCCTCCTCTTCGAGAGTCTGCAGCCTGGCAGTACAACGACAAAACGAAAGACAACTCAGAATCTCAGTACCTCCAGCCGGCAAAAAGAAGCTTTGCAGCAATGCGTGTCAAGACTGTGCAAATTCTCGCCGCGACTTCTACACACGCAGACAATCTGAGGCCGCTTCATCAGCCTAGGTGTCGCAAGCCCCAAACCCGGAAAAAACGGGATGATGGCTTGCGTGTTGCATGTTTCTGAGGCCAATCAAGGCTTATAGGCAGCAAAACCTCGGACCCAGAAAAAAAAACGGATTGGCAATCCTCGGGGCGGGCTGCAAGGACCAGCAACTCCATGCCAGGACCACGACACCTCCAAGGGCTCGAAGCAGACGCGGAGTCTCGGAGGGTCAGGCCGAAGCTAAGACGAGGAAACGGAAAGAATCATATCATGTCTTCTGTGAGCTGCAGTGCTTGCCTGCATAGCACACAAAGGCGCGCACTTGCCGAGCAGATCGGGCAGGCTTGATGGCGAAAAGGCCAGTGGAGCCTGACTCCGAAGCTTCACGAAGCTCCCGGAACGTAATGGAACAGGATGTGTTGCGCTCACGTGCCTTCATGGACTCGCTCGCCTGCAATGCCTTTTGTGCAAATCGGACTGAAGCTGGTACAGCACCGCACCAAAGCCAGAAAAGCAAATGCAGTGCCTTGGGCACCTCTTTCGCCAATGGCGCTGCTTCCACTGCAGGTGCCGTCCAGAGCCGGCGTGAGGCCTGCGGTCACAGACCATCCAGGTCAGAGAGGAGCTGAGTACTCTCCCACAGAGGGTCTCCTCCACGCAGCGGCCCTCGCTCAGGGCAGCAGCAGCCTCCAAGACAGCCTCCACGACTGCCTGTCCAAGACCCGACCCCAATTTTGGATAATTTGGGCCAGAACCGGGAAGCCCAAACGCGTTTCGCCTCAGACAGAACCTCGCAGCCGCCCTGGATCGTGGCTCCAAGCCTCAGTCATGCCGCGCTCGGAAAAGCGAAACCCACGAGAGGAACCATCGCACCTGTCCGAAGGACTGATCTGGTGCATCATCAGTTCCGACGCTGGAAAGGACAGCTTCGTGCTTCGAGCAGCAGTAGGACCGCCCCCGAAGACCAGACGCTTTGCCCCCCAAAACTGGAAAACGGATAAGGGCTTTATCAAATATAGATCCAAAAGAAGGAAGGATACAAGAGTACAAGAGGATAGCACGTCCACTCCTTGATGCTAAACATGACCGGGAAGGAAACGACGACTTTCGAAGAGGAAGCTTTGCCAAGACTTCTGCTTGAAGTGCGGGAACTGAGGGACTCGTGCATGTGTTCACAATGCGCTGCAGCTACAAAAAAGCAAATGTCACTCTTGGGCAGGGGCTGTTTTTTACAAGCACGCTTCGTCTGAAGCGGAACCTCTGATTTCAGGATCGTTCCCAACCTCAGATGCATCAGGAAAGGTGGAGATGTCAAGACGGGAGAGATATCCGTGACGGATTAACCGTCCACAAGTTGATTGGTCTCAGGCAGTTTAGCGTGCCCCTGAAGCTCAGCAGCCACTGCTTGCTCCAACCCAGCGTCACCCTGCAAGGCAACGGCAGAGACTTCAGAGATGCCAAGAAACTGCCCGGACCTGAACCGGGAAAGAAGCCAAGAAACGCTCGTTGAAGAGCTGCCCATCCTGAAAAACTCCATCCGCATTAGACAGAGCACTCCAGCCACCATTGCGGAGTTGGCATCCATCCATTAAGGTAATGCAACTCTTCCGGCTGTGCTGTACTGTCTCGGCTACTCTGAGCATGGAGCGCGAGCGTCGGTCGTTCTCCTCTCCACCTTCATAAACAGTCGTAAACTCCGTAGATGACGCTAGCCCAGAGGAGACATCAGCCAAGCCGAGTGAAAACTCGAGGATGCCTGCCTCCTCCACAGAAGCATCCAACCATGATCTCACCTGTGCTTGCGGTGAGTGAGCATAATCTCATCAGAAGCGCCACCACCACATCAAATGTTCAGCAGGCACCATCAACATGACAGTCACCGTCTCAATCAGCATCCTTGCAGTGGTCGTCATGGCAAGCAGCAGCAGTACCCGCTTGTCGCGACAATGGCTCTGTCATGAGGACTGCACCAGCTTCTCGACACTAGCCCCGGGCATCTGACCTCCTTAGCTGGCATTTCGACAAAAGCTGACTGTCCAGGACATTTTTCGTTGCAGGATTGGTCTTGCATAGGAATTTGCGTATGCGGACCATCAAGAGTATGAAGTATGAATATTATGTCTCTTAAAACGCAGGGCCAAGAAAAAAACGATGGATCGTAGGTCTGAAGTAGATGAAACTGAGGCAGCAGCCTTCAACAGCCTTTGCCATTGATTGAAGCCTAGGATGGCTCGTGGAGAAAATGCATGTCCATGCCATGCAGCTGAGACAGGCTGGAACTGTCCCTGCCGTCCCTGCCTTACAGAAACACGACAGCAGCGACTCGCAGCTTTGAAAGGACGTCTTTTTGACAACGCTGGGAGCTATGCTGGACTTCTGCTTGGCGCCAGCTGCATACCTGGCACGCCGCGAGGAGCAAGAAACTGGGCAGGCCAGCGCTTCAAGGCTTGGAGCCTCCGTAGTCAGAGCCTCATCTGAGAGCTTTCTTTGGCCGCAGGAGGCGGCGACTGCCTGACACTTTTCTCTCTCAGAAGATTGGTCCTTGATGCTGAATGCCTTTGCCGAACAAGCTTCTGACCCGCCCCTCGCTCTTGCTGGTTGTTTGCGTGAGCAACACTATGTAGAGCCATAACAAGGTAAGTGCCCCGGTTTCCAGAGCCTGAAGGAAGACACAAAGCTAGGATGAGCACGCGAAGACATCAAGAACCTGCGACGAACATGCCGGCCTCTCGACAGCTTTGGCCGAGATCTCCGAGCGAGAGCTCCCAGGATTTCCGAAAGCATTGGCATAGCTCTTTGGCCACATCCTCTGTCAAGCCTCTGTCATCGCCATCAGCATGGAGAGACATCGCTGCAAAATGCACCACCCAAGGTGTTTCGCGGTATGTGTGTGTGCGTCTGTTGTCTGAAGCTTGCTATAGCCCGGGTCTGTCGATTTCGCACGACAAATCGGACAACTTCGACTGGTTGGCAGCCGCCCTCCTGAACCAGCCTGTTAGCGCATGTCACCAACCTGCCAGCCCGGCCTGACTCTCCTCTTTATTTGATTTCACTACCTGCTAGCATTTGAGCCATTCAGCTTACTAACATGCCGTCAAGCAGGTGGTCAAGCAAATAGCGTGTCTTCTCCACTTCACTGACAGGTTGGATGCCTCTTTTCCAAACGTGCCTTGTGGCAGCCAACGTCCGGTTGGGTTTGATGGCTTATCCTCTGCTGTGAAACGCTAGACAGACCAAAGACAAGAAAGACAGGAGGATGCTCTACCAGGCAGAATCCGTGTGTAAGCGGAGGGAGAGTAGGAGACATGGAGGAAGAGGGAATCAGAGAGAGAGAGACAGGAAAAAAGAGATATTACAAACAGACACGGACTGGAACAGAGACGATGTGCAGCAGCTGGGTCTCGGGCATGCTCATCCGGCACAACATCTCAATGCTACATAATGACCGACCTCCTACGAAAGCTTGCATCTTCAAGCTGATCAGACCCTTGTGCCAGCAGATCCCCATTAATGCATGGGGATGCATAGCATGCACCTTCCCAGCCGATAACTCTCGCTAAGAATCCAGGGCCCATTTGACTCACAGAACAACAAGGAGCTTGGCATACGAACTCTATCATGCAAGCGCGAATGAAAATCTCCGAATACAACAGTCCTCTGGCGAAGGCTTTCGCGCAATCAGGCCCTGATTCGTGAGACTCTGGTCTGTGTTTGCTGTGAAACATGGTAATGAGCAAACAGACATCAGGCACCCGGGCACCCTATTTCATGTTCTGCAGCTCTCTCGCGCTTGAAACATAGGGCCGTTCATGTCGCTTGCTTTTGTGCGAAGCACGAGGGACGTCGCCGATCTACGAAGACGTACTCGTTGCTGGCAGGGAGGCCAGTTGAGTCGTTTATTGCAGAAGTTTAAAACAGTGGCAGTGGCAACAGGAGCACTGCTGCAGTCAAAGGGCATTTCTGGCATCACGACGAGAGCAAATCCAACACTAGGCCTAGGCTAGGTAGCTGTCTTCGCGAGGAAAGTTGCAGATTGGCCTAACTGCCAAAGTAGCGAAGCAAATCACTTCCGTCACCCCCGCACGAACCAATTCAAGGTCCGCTTCCGGGCCAGCGTCCGTGCCAGGTCTTCGGGATCCTCGGAAAAGGCAGAAATTCGGGAACCGAACCGAACTTGCACAGAGAAGGAAAAGAAAAGTTCAGGCATCACACCATTTGTTCCGCCTGGCCCTGGCTCCCAGCCGCCTGTGTCATGCTGCCACAAGCGGGATAGGCCAAGCCAGATTTACAAGCAAAGTTTGGCTGCACGCCTGTCTGCTCTGGCTCTCCGCGCTTGTAGCACTTGACTGTGCCGCTGCCATTTGCTTGGCCTCTACCTCGCAAGATTCGTGCTTGAGATCCTGGGCCTGTTGCTTCTTCTCTTCGTCTAGCTCTGCAGGCCATGGGACTCGACTCACGGTCAAGGATCTCTGCTGGCTGTGCCGAGACCGGGCCTGTTGGTAGTACCCCTCGGCTGCCAACAGTCCAGAGGCTACTGGCTCCATGCCGGACCTTGCAGGCAAACAGGCTGAAAGCAGCTGCAATGTGTCGAGGATTACAAGTGGACTATAAGCAACGCGGCTTCACTCAAAGCTAGACTACCCCTTCGGAATGAGAAAGGCTGGCTCGAAGACCAAGGATTGCACTCATCAGTCGTGCCTGCAGTGGGTTTGGCATACAAGCAGAAAAATATATACATGACAAGGACAGGACCCAGCCTTTGACGATCAAAAGCTCGAGAGAACCGCATGTCATGCAGGTCTTGAGCATGTTTGGCACGTCTTTGGAGATACCATTTACCGCCTCAATCAGAGAAACCAGTCAGTATGCTCTGAAACCAGTCAGTATGCTCTTGTATGCTCTTGAACACCGCCAAACAAGAATCGCCGGGCCCCACACCACGATGCAATCGCCACTCCTGCGATGAATGCTTACAGCAGCTAGCTGCGACATGTGACATGTGCCAAAAACTTGCTTGTTCATGTGACTCACGGCTGGGCTTTTGCTGCAGAGTTGATGCAGCCGCAGTCCTTACGATCCTCATCGGGTTCTCCTCGTTCCATTGGCCGGCCAGGCCGCCATTTACTTCCACGATTGGTATCGCAGTTGCTTCCTGCCGCAGACCAGGAGAAACGGTTAGAGTACCCCTTGCTCAGTTTGGGTGTATGGTACCGCACCCCAAGATGCTATCTTAGACCCACCTACCAGTCCAAGCCCTAGACCCACCTACCAGTCCAAGCCCTGGACCCACAAACCACCACCTTAAGACCAATCTTAGGAAAACTATCCAATTCCCATTGCTTCAAGACACCATAGCTTCACATGTCAGGGAAGAAATGGACAAATACTGCACCAGACTGGCAATGTAAGCGTGCACCTCAGCATAGTCTATGTCCAAACCCAGCTTGGCCGTTTTTTCCTGCCAGGGTATCAATGGTAGAATGAACTGCATTGCTTATGGAGTTACTTTATGCAAGGAAACAGCACCTCGCCTTGCCAGGAAGTTTTTTCAAGTTCACTGTCAGCGTTTGCACTTTGCTGGGTACGTCTTGTACCCAGGTTCTTGCCTCAGTGCTTCGAAGCTATGTCTTCTGAGGGCAAGAGTCTGCGATCAGAAGCTAAACGCCACCAAGCAGCTCTGAGCTTTTTCCGTTCCAAATTATTTTCTTTGGAGTCGTTGGAGGGCTCCGGCTCCTGCACAGTGTGCCGAGAACGTCAGACTACGAAAGCACCCATGCTTGCCCCACTACATGTCCGTGAACAGGAACCGCCTGCAAAACAACTTGCTATTCAAGGCAAACGGGTTTTCGCATGGATTCGAGTCCAGCTAGAGCCCGCATCCACGCCTCACCTCCATTTTTGACAGGTGTATTCACCGTGATACTCATTACTCGTGTTAATATGAATGTTCATCTTCATCTTCACATTCATCTGTCAATGCAGAGTTGCGTTAACATTTATAGCCATGCTTCTACTTGTGTTTTTTCAAGCATATAGTTCCACCTATATCTATGTGTGGATAACTATGTACCGACATTCACAATTAGAGTCACATGTCTGCCCGTTTCATACCTACTGCAGTAAGTATGCACGTAAACACATACATACATACATACATACATACATACATACAGACACACACATACATACATACATACGTACGTACGTACATACATACATACATACATACACATGCATACATAGACACATACATACATACATACATGCATACATACATGCAGACATCCATGCATGCATGCATGCATGCATGCATGCATACATACACATGTACAAAACTATTCATGTACATACATACGTATAAACATATATGCACATCTATTCAACAACAAACTGATTACTTAGTTAAGATAAATGATTAGCTAACTAACTGAATCAACTGACTGGTTGATCTTTTTAAATGGTTGATTGGTTAAATGATTGGTTGATGAATTAGTTAGTTAAATCAACTAGCTAATTACTTAAGCAAAAACTCAATCAGTTAGTTAATTAACTGACTAGTTACATTATTGACAAATTATGTGTATATGCACACTAAACGCATTTACGTGGATGTATGCATGTACCTCTGTACGAATCTGTCTATATGTATGGGCCTTGTTATGTGCCACCCTATGTGCGTACGTGTGTACGTATGTATGTATGTATGTATGTATGTATGTTTGTATGTATGCATGGTCGATTGTTTCTATATATATATATATATGTGTGTGTGTGTGTGCGTGTCATATGAACATGCAACTGCATGTATATTCGCATAAGTTGAACATGTATGTATGTGTCTATACATCTCCATAGATATGTGTAAATATGTAGACATACATACATACATACATACATACATATCTATATATGTATACATATGCATATGTACAAGTGCATGCTCGACTTTGCCGCAAGCATCAATCACTCGCACAACATCCAAGTTCCCCCAATCCACTCCCACATGGCCTTGGGCGCCTTCGGAGTGGCGGGTAGCAAGGGCGGATCCTCTACGGGCTTCACTTCTCCCCGGCCGTCATCTTCATCCTCTTTACCTGCCAAGAGCATCGTGTGCAGAATCGGATGAACTCATAGATGCCCCACGAACTGAAAGTTTAAAGACGACTCCAACATCACCTGCGGCCCTCAACAGTCTCCTCTCGTGCTAAACTTCGACAAACACGATAAACAAAGAAGCTGCAAAGCCATGCAAGGTATGTGACAGATGCAGCTAGCTACAAAGAAAAGGATGCAGCACGAAGGCCTGCATGATCTCCAGAGCAGCATTGGGATCGTGCACCATAGTTTCCCATGATGCGGTGCTGAGCTGGTAGTGTCTTCAGCGGTGCTGGCAAGGTCTTCGGTCGTTTTTGCATAGCTGGCTGTGCTGACGGAAAAAAACTCGTTAGGGTAGGTTGTCTGCATGAGAAGTATTCAGATTGGGACAATCAGCCCAGCACCGGCTGCGTCTGATTAGTTTACACAGGCGCGCAGCTTTTGCTGGGCCTGCGGTGTGCCAACGTCATGGCACACGGTGGGTTTTGAGCCTGATGCGAGGGCAACCAACAAGTTAAAGTTCCACACTTACAATCCCAAAGCCTATGTATCTCGCACTCTGCTGACAAGCCCCTTTCTTTCGATTGCACACATGAAGATTCTTCGCCCTGCAAGTTGAGCATGAATATAATCACAGGCTGCATTGTTTTCAGCACGAATGACTAGCGATTCGACGTTAATCATGCATGGGTCTTTGTTGTTTTTGTGGAATACTACCTTCGCTTCGGAAGCAGAGTCTCGAAATCTGATAACTTGCTCGACAAAGCAAAAACCAAAGTTCAGCTTCTAGAAACATGTCTTCTGTAAATGACTTCCAGCACTTGGGAAAAAAAAAAGACTTGNNAAAAAAAAAAAAAAAACACAACAAGTGGTGCAAGCCGGAATGATGAGGATAAATGGAGCCATACACAACGACATGTATTGCCAAGTTTGACCACACACAGCAACACCGCAGCAAAACATTGGTGTTTACAACCAGAACTACAGTCTAGAAGCTTTGAAGACTTACAGCACGGCTGCTTTCACAATGCAAGTCCAACTTGATTTTGGCACGACCTACTTTCATTTCTCGACAAAACAATCCCGCACATGCTCCTTGTTCTATTAGCAGCTGTTTATTACACCAACCTTTGCCATACCACTAAAGATTTTGCCACATCGCAAATGAAAATCTTTGGAGGAGATTCTCCTGTCATTCAACTTGCTTATTAGCGGTCTTTACTGCAAGTGTACGGTGAATGAGAGGCAAGGAAAATCCAAGACGCTCAATCGAGAGGCAAGATCATCCGAAG